AGCCTAACCTGCTCAGCCAAGTCCATATACTCTATGGTTAGCAGCCTTGCACAGAAGCACGAAACAGCATTATAGTGAACAACGGCAGCACATGAAGAAGGCAACACGTCACACAAATGAGTGAGTGCCCTTGCAGCTAGAAGCATTATATCCGGATTGCTTTCATGATTAAGCAATCCCACAAGCACAGGAACAAAGGAATCCACAGAGAAGGTGCTTAGTGAGTCCTCAGTCCCAATTGAGAGCATTTCACAGAGCTGCGTTAACGCCTCCACTTGCCTACCTTCCTCTCCTTCTGCACGCAATCCAGTCAGAATCTTCTTCAACCTACCACTCTAGTGTGAAGAGGATGCAGACCCAATTCCCGAGGACGGCAAGAAATCATCCAGTCCAGCACCCAGCTTCCTTAATAGCCCTTGAAGGGTGCTGCTAGCTGACGGCAAAATCCCTCCACCACCCTCACTGTCTTTATCATCATCGTCACCAGATGCATCCAAATTCAATCCCAAACCACGCTCGGGATGATTATTACTGTTGGCGTGATCTCTCTCTCTCTCGAATCCTGAGATCGTGTTCCTTTTCCTTACCCTTATCAGAGGGCGTATTAGGATTATCACTCGTACTCTGATTCTGATTATTTTTGTTGGAACGACGATCACGGTGGGAGCTGAAGAAGGATTCATTATTGGTCGGGTCCATTGCAGTAGAGGGGTGATGAACGGAATGTTAAATGTTAACGGAAATGTTAAGAGAAGGGCTGATTTGCCACTGCAGGGGAGTTGAGGGGCTGATTTGCGCGTGAAATGGGTTGAGGGGGTGATTTGCCACCAGTTGTTGAGTTCAGGGGCTGATCTGCACCTTTTGCCAACGGAGAACCCGCCCTGCGGAAACCGTTGCCAATCCTTTTTCACATATATAATTTGGGAAATGATTTTTGTATAATTTTTTTAGTTTTATTTTTTTAATAATCTGATATATCATTAAAATAATTAATTTTTTTAATTCATGTGAACACATAATATTAAATGTACTTATTCGTCTAATAATATGTAAAAATTATATAAAACGATAGAACAAAAATATTATTTTTATAGCATCATCTTATATAATTTAGCTCGAAAGTAAAACCATCTTATTTTCTGCTCCTCTGCTCCTCTTTGCAACAGCAAAAGATGCAACGTCCGGTCATTATTGTCGGTGCTGGCCCTTCTGGACTCGGCACTGCAGCCTGCCTAAACAGCCAATCAATCCCTTACATACTCCTTGAAAGAGAAGATCGTTTTGCTTCTATTTGGACAAAATCCTCTTACGACCGTCTCCACATCCACCTACCCAAACAATTCTGCATTCTCCCTCACAAGCCATTTCCGGCCACATTTCCCACCTACGTCTCCAAAAACCAATTCATACAATATGTAGAAAGCTACATCTCTGAATTCAACATCACCTCTCTGTACAGGGCGGAGGTAGGAATTTTAGTCACGGAGGTAGGAATTTTAGTCAGGGAGAGCCAGATTTTCAAACTTCAAATAATACATTATAATTTCAAAAACTTACTTTTATATCACAAATTAAAATAATATTCAACGAGTCTTCATATTACAAAATCTATTTATAATAGAGTTTACACTAAATATTTGAACTATTTCTTTTTCAATATAAATAATTAAAGAGTTTGAAAGAAATTCATCATTTATTTTACTGCGAAATCTTATTTTCATAATTTTCATGACAGTGGCTCCGCCACTGGTTTAATGGAGCTAGTTTAATTTGATGCCCAGCACATAGCCGACGATATTAAGTCGCTTCTGTAACAGAAAGCTGGAAAAAGAAGGAAATGCTTCGATGAGTTCTAGTTCCTATAATGTTAATTAATTGTAGAATTGGTCACCTTCTGGTTGGTTGATTTCATGAGAAAAAGAAATTTATGCATTTTAAGTACCTGTGTACACCAGGACTTTGCCATCACATAATGTGAGAAAAGCTGAAAATAAACACTGTATTTGAATGCGTAAAAATCCAACCATTTTTACATATCCTTACTAGAGAACACTAATCCATAATTACAACTCAAAGGAGCATGCTTCCTCCTCTCATTCACAATATGAATAAAATGACACTAATAAACATGTAAATTAAAACATAGCAAACCTAAACATTAACGGAGGAATTACAGTTTTAAGGATCATCAACCAATTATAAAAAATTAAAAAAAAAAAAAAAACCAATACCGCAAAGAAATTTGTTAGAACTCAAAGATCAAGAATTAATCCTCTCACCATTCTTATTATGAACTATGAAGCATTTTCTTTTATTATTTTATCTAATAATGAGTTTTACAAAAAGATTACACACTATTGGAAAACGCGGCATAAGCGACAATACTATATTCGACAGCCACATTTCTGTCGAAAATGTGTACATAATCGACAGAAAGATTGACAAAGATGTAAAATTGACGATGATAATGGAAATTTTTTGTT